TCCCTCCCCATCCACTGTGATCTTATGGTTTAGTGTGCCGGCCATGCTCAGCCTGGATTCTTCCCCCTGCCTGCTTTCTCCCTATTTCTACAACAAAAATCTCTATACTTTACAAGTAGCCATGTCCTTCTCCATTTATATCCACCTTTTTTACATTCGGGAACAAAGCAAGTTAGTCAACATTTTTTTTTTTCAACCAGAATTTTAGTTTGATAAAATTTAACTTCTTAAAAAAACAAACAAAAAGCCCTCCAAACAGTGGAAACAAGTTTTGTTAACTCTAGCATCCACAAAATTCAGCAGTAAAACCCATATCTTAATTAGAATGTTTTTAATTCCTGTTCTATTTTTATGCATTCATAGTGTTGCCCATTTATATCAGTTTTTTTTCTACAACGAGTCCAAAAGTGTTATTTCGAATTATCAAATCGCATGAAAATTGTCATTCTCACAAAAGGATTGAACACCAACCATGTCGTGTTTCAGGAGGTTTACACTTCGATTCCGTCTCTAATGGAAACAGCAGATTCACTGCCCATGGGAATAGACAACTCCCCGGTTCCTGCCATGCCCCCCTACAGAAAGCAAATGATTGAAAACAAAGCAAACACAGGAATTTTGCGACAGATGCTGAAAATGGGGGGTCATGTAAACACATGAGTCTTTTGGAGGAGTTTTTTGTGTATATTAAAGTTTGAACTCAATTCCTGGGAAATATAAATAGGAAAAATTCTAAGACTGTTCTAGAAACTTCTTGAAAGCTCTCTTGGCTTTCTAGATTAAAATATAGTGTTGCTCCAGGCTCTGATGTGGGGAACTCATTAATATGGAAGGGTGGATTCAGACGAAAGTTTTGTGAGCACTAGGATGAGGGAGGTCAGGAACCCTAGTGTGACTTTACCCATGGACCCAGCAGGCCCTCTCTCCACTGATGTTCCAGAAGCACAAGTGTGGTGTCCTTGCCCCCCACCCCCAGAACCCACAGTCTCTTCTACATTTTCTGACACTGACTCTGATACTGTTTTAGTTTTGTCTCCTTTAATCCCATTAAGGAGCCATCCAGGATTGTGCTATGCACTCTGTCATTTTAGTCCTGGGTGTTTCCACAGCCTTGGTCTTGGATGACCTTCACATCATTTGAAGTACACTGAAGTATGCGCTGTGTGTTTCGTACAGTCTCTGTTTTGTAGAGTCGGCTGTTTCCTTCAGATTAGATTGAGATTACATGGTCTTGGCAGGAACACCGAATAATGAGCCCTGTGTGTTCTTGGTGCATCTCTGCAGGAGGTGCTAGGCTTGGCCCTGTTATTGCTGATGTGAACTTTGGCCACTCCCTTTCCATAAAGGACGTCTGCCAAGTTTCCCCACTCTAAAATTAGCATTTGTTCTTGGGTAAAATAAGTACTTGGTGAGGAGATATTTTGAGATGATGTAAGTATCTCATTCCTTACCAGATGTGCATCTGATAGTTACAGCTTCCATGTTTGTTTCTTGCCTGAATCCGTGATTGCTGTGCTGGTTGCAGACTAGGAACTCTCAGCTGTTGGTCATCCCTCCCACCGTCAGTAACTGGCATTCTCCTGTAAGATACTCTGCCCCCTCATCGGAGAGGTTCTACTCTCTTGTTGGTATGAACTCACTGATTCTGATTTTATCCAATGGGTTATAATCTATTACCATCAGTGGTTTAGTTTTGTTCTGTAAATTGCCCCGCTGAAGCTAGTGAAGAGGCCCTTATGTATTCTAGCTCTGTGTCCTTCTGACAATGTCTTACCATTTTTGTCTTTCAAAAAAATTTCTTTTTAATTTATTACTGTGTGGGCAGTATGGAGGCCAGCTTGCCTGAAGACATCTTTGTGGAGTTGATTCTTTCCTTCTACCATTAAATGATTCTGGGACTTGAACTTAGGTCTCTGGGCTTGAGCAGCAACCAACTGCCTTTATCCACTGAGCTATGCCTCCTGCTCCCTTTTTGTCTTTTAATATTCCTTTGAAGTTATTTTTCTCCAAGGAGTTCTAGTTCTTTTTAGTGGCAAATAGCATTCAAAAAACCAGTGTGTAGGCCCTGCCTGGGTCTCAAGGGGACAAATATTAGGCTTAGACTGCTGGTTTAGGTGCCGCTGGGCGGCTGATGTCCTTGTCCACAGTCTCCAGACTCAGGGGCCACCCTAGAATAGGATCTGATCTCAGGCCATACTCGCCATATTTTCTAGATGCTTTGGAAGGTGTTATTCTTCTAGATAAATTATAGAATACACACAAGCCTCCTTCCCTGGCTGTCATTTTGAAAAGTGTTCACTTGAGGTTGTTGTTAGCTTAGGGGAGAACTGCCGGACAGGACTGGGTCCTCCTGTTCAGGAGTAAGAGGTGATTTCTATCCCCCTGCCCCGCCAATTTACCTCAGTAGTTTTTGTTCATAAATCTTGTCTCCTGCGATAACCATTACAACGTTATTGATCATGGTTCTCTGTTTCTGAGCTGCGATCTTGCTCTGTTGCCAGGTTGTTGTTTTTTAGATTCCTGGCCTCCAGTAAATCTTTTACTTCAGCCTTCTGAGAAGCTGGGACCTCAACTTTTTCTACTTTTGTATTTGTGAATGATATCTTAGCATTTTTTTTCCTTATGAATTTACATAAAAAAGTGCCTATGCCACGAATGTATAGTTTGAAGCTTCATTAAACTGCATCATCTGCATCAGTAAATGGGACACAGAAGCACCGTGAACTTCCTTAAAAGCCTTTCCTGGTCACACAGTACCTGCTGATTTCTGTCCTTCCTACAGCAGGCTTTTGTGTGTGTGTGTGTGTGTGTGTGTGTGTGTGTGTGCTGGGGGGGGTGGGGATACAGATGCTTGCGTTGCTTTGCTTCTCATTGTCAGGAAAGTAGGGCATTGTGCCAGTTAATTACCCTGCCACAGACTTCTTAAGAGTTTCCTGTGTGTGCCTGAATGAGGGGCAGTGATCAGTGCTTTCACAGGTTTTTATCACCAGCTTTACAGGGTGTGTGGGTGACCTTGACTCTTCTTCTTCTTCTTCCTTCTCCTCCTTCTCCTTCCTCCTCCTTTTCCCCCCTTCTTTCTCCTTCCCTTCCTTCTTCTCTTCCTCCTCCCCTTCTTCCTTTTCCTCCTCCTCCCCTTCCTCCCCCATTCCTCCTCCTCCTCCTCTTTCAGACAGGGCTTCACTGTGCAGCTCCATAGAGTGATGACATTCTTCTAGTTCCTAAGTTAGTAGGGGCTCTGCTGTTCAACAAGTGAGGACCCGTTTTGATCTTTAGTTCTAGTGTGGTGAGCATTTTCTTGCAGACTATGGACTTTAATTATGTCTCTGTTCTTGCAGTCCTATTAGTTTATTTTTAGAAGTGTACTTCTTCAAACCTTGAAAACATTTGCACAGATAATTTACTTTTTAATTTAAGATTTTATTTTGCAAGTTTTATACATGAGTATTTTATTTATGTTATGCCATAAATAAAATGGAGTTTTCCCCAAACCAACTAGGAGACTGAGTCTTGTATATAGTTTGCAAATTTGGACCCTCTGTGTGTCCAACGTGTTGGAGTGATCAGAGCCCCAGCTCAGTTGGGGTTGGGTTTTTATAGTAGCAAAGGTAGGGGTGAGGGATTTCTAAGGTTCAGGATCCCTGACTGACATTTGTCTAGGGGTGTCCTAGTGAAAAGCGATGGATGTGTGCTAGCAGGTGATCCTATCTACAAGGGTTGAAATCTTAGGAATTTCCTCTGGATGGTCTGTTCCTGTAGTGCCAGCTTATGACACCTGGAACCCGGTGCTGCCTGCTGTGGCAGCTGTGCGGCCTGGGCCCCATATGTGGCCAGGCTGCTCTGGGTCCCACAATTTATAATACTTTAACCCCTCTACCTCCTTCCTTCAATGGCTCCTTTGCCTTCCCCAGCCCCGTCTCAAATTCATGTCCTCTGCTTCTTAATGATGACTGTGACATATGTTGTATACATGTTTATATGTGTGGATTTTCAGCCTGCTGTGTCTGTTTTGTGTTGCTCATCTGTGTATATACAGGGTTCTCTGTGGCCACGATGGCCAGTAGAGTCATGGTCCGAGGAAAGCAAGAAGGCAGTTTGGGTCATCATGACTCAGTAGCCAGTGCTGGTGCAGACTTTGAGAGTCTGACCTCAAGTAGTTTATTTTAAGCATATTTACCACACACATTTGGGAAGAAGCTTCCTGGTGATAATTAACTCAATCCTATTTGCACAGCAAAGCTGAAGACATGATTACATCGACACTCTCTGTAAAGAACAAGTGACATCTTTCATAAAGATGGGTTCTGTAGAACAACTAAAAGAACAAGCTCAAGATACAGCAGGGTGGGGGTGGGGAGAATAGCATGTTACAGATTGACCGAGACAGACAGATTCAAGGGTCTAGGGGAGGGTTTGGTATGGGCTGACCACACAGAAAGGTCACCAGGCTGTTAACCAAATCTGCTCCCAATTTCTGGGCTGAACAGAGGCTATACAGCGATAGCCCTGTGTGTTTAGCATTCCTGGTTACCCTAGGCTTCTGTGTGACCACAAGGGCCTAAATGTATTCTTACTTGTCCTTACGGCTGACTATTTGGGGTTGGATAACCTATCATGGTGTTCATCCCTGCAGAAAACTGGTTCTCCATCCCTCACCAGCCATTGACTGCCTATAATTAGTTATCTGGGGGTGAGGAACTTGCAAAAATTCCCTCATACATTGGCATTTTGACCAGTTGTGGATCTGTAATAGTTTTCCTTCTGCTGAAAAAAAAAAAAAAGCTTCTTTGATGAGGGAGAACTATACTCATCTGTGGGTAGAAGGATAAGCATTTAGAACATGTTAGAGAGTACATTGGGTTAGTAAGCTGGCAGAAGTAGGTTCTCCAGGGTCGTGCCTAGCCTACCGCCTTAGACTGTAGAAGTGTGTTGTTATTATTTTTTAAAGACATACACTAAAAGACAAATCATACTAATGGTTTTTTTTTTCATCTTGCTTCTAGAAAAACTCATTGCTTATCAACGAGAATTTCTTGCTTTAAAAGAGCGTCTTCGCATAGCTGAACATAGGATATCTCAGCGCTCCTCTGAGTTGAACACCATTGTCCAGCAGTTTCGCCGCGTAGGAGCAGTAACTAATGGAAGTAAGGCTGCACTGAATACGTTCTCAGGTACTTTAGAAGTAGTGTACGTTCAAGGGGCTTTACGGAGTGTGTGACTGGAGAGTTCTGTGAACATGCCAGTCAGCATGTATTGCCCTTCTCAGAAAAAAAAATCACACAAAATTTGCTCTTCTGGTGAATTATAAATGCGTTTTTATTAGTTGCTGAATTTGATTATGACGGACACTGTTATGTTTCAGTTGTGTGCCTTTCATCAGTAACAGTGAAAAGACTGTATCTTTTGAAAGCATTCATAAGGAGATTAAATTTTAACTTTTGGGCTGGCAAGATGGCTCAGTGGTTAAAGAAAGCTTGATGCCAAGCCTAACAGCCCTGGGTTCAATCCCCAGGTCCCACATAGTATACAGAATGAATCAGTTTCCCCCATTGTCCTCTGACTCCCCACCCCCTCAATAAATGTTTTAAAAATAAAAAAAAAAATGGATTTTAACTTTTATTTCAGTATGCTTATGATATAGCCAGTGTTAGACCTTAGATGGCCTCTGAGGAAATCTATGAGCTGCTGGAGCAGTCCTTGCTCTTGCTTCTGTTTGATAATCAGGAAGAAACCTGGCTTATCATCATGCATACTTGGGAAGTGTCTGGGCCTCTCCTGGGGTCTTCTGGTCAGTCAGAGGACCACTGCTTCTCTCTTGTGGTGCTTTTTGCCTCTGATAATCCATTTGTTTGGTGTTTATTTCAGTGCGCCAGGCCCCATTGCTCTTTCCAGGCTGGTATTTTAGATTCAGCTTCGTGTACTCCAAACAGAGCCAGGCAAGGATGCCTTTCATCTTGATATCAACACCTGACCTTGTTTTCAGAGTTTCATGTTTCTCCCTCTCCTCCTGAGGGCGCATCTGTATTTTGTCACTAGAGCGTTTTTGATTACAGAAGGCTCCAGTTCAATCAGCCGGAAGCCTGTGTCTAACAATTTCTATTAACAACATTTTTGTTTTCTTTTAGTCTTTCTTATACATTTTTTTTTCAAAATATCTTTTTGAAATTATACTCTTGAGCATTTTTACATTATCGTTTTTTGTTTAAGACAGTTCTTTGTAGCTCTGGTTGTCTTGGGACTTGCTGTGTAGAGCAGGCTGGTCTCAAACTCACAGAGATTTGCCTGCCTCTGCCTCTAGAGCACCAGGATAAAAGCTTCACACCATAATGTCTGACCTTCTTCAAAATGCTATCTACATTAAAATTTTATTTTACTGGGATAAGAGCTCCTCCATAGCACAGACTGACCTGAGACTGCTGTCCTGTTTCGGACGCCCTAGTGCTCGGGATTAGAGCTGTGTACTCACCACCCTGGGTAAAACACTTTAATAGCGAATATGCTAATCATAACCACAGCAAATTAAGCATTTCCTTCTATAATTAGCAAATGAATGTTTTCCTGGGTCATTTTTCCTCCTCCAAATCACAGCTCTGTGAGAAACATTTCTGTGTATCAATTGGTTGTATTTCTGGCAGCCCCTGTGATCTTCATTAGATTATGTTTTGCTGACCGGTGATTTTCAGACATGTGGCACCATTCCTGGAACAAGACAGAAAGCAATTAAGTGTTTGTTGAATGCGTAAAAGCCAAAACCATCGAGAGGAAATGCCTGAGTCACAGGACGGGCTGTTTCAAGGCCTTTGATTCCGCTGAATGTCTAGAGCAATGATTATACCATGACTGACATTTAAGCATCATTCAAGCTGTTTCTGGTTGCTAGGTAGGAATAGGATGTGATAACATGGATTTCTTTACACGTGAGATTCACCTTTCATTTCATGTATGATATTATGTATGTGAGTTTGGTATGGGTGTTTTTTTTTCCCCCTGCATGTATGTCCATGTACCATATGCGTGCCCGAGGAAGCCAGAGGAGGGTATCAAATCTCCCAGGACTAGGTGCTGGGACTCAGTCGTCTGGAAGACCTGCAGGCACTTTTGACTGCTGAGCCATCTCTCCAGCCCTCTTGTTATAATTTTAACGGTGGTGTGGTCACAAGTCCTTCCTACTAACTTCCTTGTTTAGAAAGTGAAATTTCAATTTGATGAAAATTCAAAGCAATATGTGTAATTAGCAGAAGCTTTTACTCCGCAGCCTATTCAGTGAGTCATTGGCTCCCCTAGATGAAAACTGAAACCACTTGAAGATTGACAGGTACTGAGCATTTTCTGCTTCAGCGGTTTAAATTTTTTCACTCGCATTTTTTTTTTTTTGAGAAATATAATTTCCGTATAAAAGTTTGGTGAAACGTTAACGCACAATGGAAATGAAGGGTAGCCTGGAACAGTGGCACATGCCTGGGATAGAGACGGCTTCGTAGCAGATTTGAGGCCAGCCTGGGCTACATATAAGGCAGGAGAGTGAAATTTGGTGGTGGCCGCTGCGTTTGCGGTTGACTTCATAAGTAGATGACACATTTAGAGCCCACTTATTTGTAATTCTCATAAGCGTTTGCTGGTTTTCAAGAGAGAAAACCAGAGGCTTCTTTCTGTAAGGGTCACTTAATTGTCTTTCTGTGTTTCAGATAATACCATAAAGCTACTAAAGGAGTTGACAAGCAAAAAATCCCTTCAAGTGCCAAGCATTTATTATCATTTGCCTCATTTATTGCAAAATGAAGGAAGTCTTCAGCCTGCAGTACAGATTGGCAATGGAAGAACGGGAGGTGCGTGCACTGTGTGCCTGTTATCTGTACTGTGATTGGGCAAGCGATTTTTGACTGCTAGGACAAAGGATTATCCCCCTACCCCCGCCAGGACTGTATGGTGACCTTCCCCTTCCCCCTTCCCCCATGGGCTTGAAATCTCTGCACAGCGACTTGGGGCTCAGTCCAAACTGCTTGTTGAAAGGATATGGACATTTCTTCTCCATATATCAGATTGGGATTCAGTAGACATGTAGTTCAGGCAGACAAATGCTTAAACATTTGTAAATTTTCTGTTTTAAAGATGGGGAAGTAGAGGGATGGCCTTACCCCTATGTCTTATCCCAGCACTGATGGCTCTTTGCAGTCCTGCCAGGGGGTGTGTCTTAGTCTGCACCACTTTTCCCTCTCACTCTCACGAGCTTTCCCTGCGATAACACTTGAATACGCGGCTTTCTCTCCTTCCCTTGTAGCCCTTGAATTTTCCTTATAGGACCTTTTGACTACTTTATATATTTTGTAGCTACAATTTTTGCTCGAATTTAAAATTTTTGACTTAATTGAACTTGGATGTTTTAGTTTGACCTTTTCTTCATATATTTTAAAATGTAGAGTCCAGAATTGATGAAACAGTCTGGCGGTGGTGGCGCATGCCTTTAGTCCCAGCACTTAAGAGGCAGAAACAGGTAGATAGATCTCCATGAGTTCGAGGCCAGCCTGGTTCTACAGAGCTAGTTCCAGGACAGCTAGGATTGTTACATGGAGAAAAACATGTCTCAAAAAAAAAAAAAAACAAAAACAAAAACAAAACAAAAAAAAACCCAAATGATGATTACTCTAGAGATATTAAAATTCATTTTCCTTTGTTTACTTATTTTTTAAATGAGGTTTCACTGTAAGCTTTCCTAGAACCCATTTTCTTCCCCCTCACCCCCTGAGTAACTCAGATTATAGGTGAATATCATCCTTTCAAGTTTGAATTTCATTTTTGTGTGTTAATATTTTTTCATATTTCTTTGATGTGTATGAACATTATCCCATGTGAAACCAAGAGTGCTGCCTTCAGAAGGTAGTCAGAAGAGGGTGTCGGGTCCTCTGGAACTGGGATTATAAATGGTTGTGAGCCACCATGTGGGCGCTGGGCATAGAACCCAGGGTCCTCTGCAAGAGCAGTATATGTTCTTCATGGCTGAGCCGTCTCTCCAGCCCTTGTGTTAATACTTTAGAAAAGTCGATTAGTTGGCTTTTCTTCTTCACAGTTCTCGTGTTTGAACCCAGGACCTCATGCATGCTAGACCTGCGCTCCTCTGCTGAGTTGTTCCCACAGCCCTGTAGGGTTTTGATTTAGTAGGAATCTTAAGAATCTTCCTCTTTAGGGTCCTGTTTTCTCCCATCACTTGAACTGTTAGTATAAGCTTCTGCATCTATTTTGTTTTGGTTCTTTCATCTTTCTATTTTATAAATAATCTACAATAATGTGTGATCTCCCTGTGGAGGTTGAATGTTAAAATAGCGTGTTCATATTCTTTTTTGTATTGATTCAGGAAATGTTTACCAAGGCCAGGCATCCTTCAGAGGCTGAACATACGTACGCTAGCATGATGTATAGGACACTCTGAGTTCCTTTCTTTAGAACATCAATTGTTAATTCTTTTTAAAAGCTAATGTGGACATTCCCCAGTAATAGCCGCTATTTGGGTAAGATTCCAAGGCCAGTCATGGAATTTAGACTGTATTTTCATGAATGAGAATAACAAATGAAAAAAAAATAGTGTTTAAAAAAGGGGCTGGAGAGATGGCTCAGGGGTTAAGAACACTTGGCTTCTCTTCCAGAGGTCCAGGTTCAATTCCCAGCACCCACACTTTAGCTCACACCCGTCTGTAACTCCAGTTTCAGGGCTTGATACCTCACACAGACATACATGCAGGCAAAACAACAGTGAACATAAAACAAAAATAAATTTATATATTAAAAAACAAGTCTTCTAACACTTGGAGCCAGAGGCTGACAGATCATAAGAGTTCTAGGTCAACAAGGGCTACACAGTGTGAGACCTTGTCTCCCTCAAGCCTCCTCCCCTCAAGTCATTTGAAACTTGAAGATCTCCGTCAGGTTCTTGCATAATAAACCCTTACGATTTGATGGTTGACACTCTTTCTTTTAAAGGTATTTCTTTTGTCTCATTCATTTTATCCATTATAAACACTTCAAGATCTTGACCACCTAGCTTTTAAATAGTCTACACTCCTATAATGTGGATGCTCTTTCTGAAAGTTAGAAATAGAAGGCAGCTTGGAGTATGGGGAGAACCCACATTTAATTTAAAAATAAAAACCTCCCTTTCCTTAGACAGGTGGTTTTTAGTGGTTCTAGAACCAAGAACTCTTAGGATGTCCTTAACTTAGAAAAACATGCATAGAAAAGTTGTTTTGTACATGATTTCTGGAATTCACGTTTTGTGGATTCCCAGAACCTAGGTAGTGACTTTGCCTTGCGAGGTTCCATTGTCTGGATGCAAGGAGAGCTGCTGCTGGCTAGCAGTTCTGTTCCTCAGTAGTCAGGCGGAGTAACCACAGAACTGCAGCAAAGCTTTCTGCTGGCTGGGGGCAGAGGACAGTCCTCCAGGTGGGATGGTTCTAAGAAGATACCTAGCTGTGCTTCGGAAATCCAGGAACTCTAGCATGGCTCCATCTTCCCACACACTTACGGAGGCAGCTGAGGTAGCCAGGCACAGAGAGCACATGGCAAAGGGCCTTCATCTGCAAGTAGGGCTAACCCAGCAAGAAGGCAGGCAGCCAGCGCTGTGGCCAGTAACTTGGCGATCCATAAAACTGAGCTGGTAGAGCAAATCGTGTGATTTATTTTAGAGGGCAGGGAAGGAAAACCCACAAAACAGTATCTAACTGTTAAAAAAGATCATTTAGAAATATTTGTTTTTCATAATAGTAGTTAACGGTTGAAATTCTCAGATACATGGTCTGAGATTTGATCTAGTAAGTTGGGTCTGGAGACAGGTACTCCCAGGTACTCAGGAGGATGAGGCAGGAAACTCTTGAGGCCAAAGTCTGCCTGGGCAACAGCGTAAGTTAAAGACCAGCCTGAGCAGCTTAGACTGTCTCTAAAGAGAGAGCTGAGGTGCTCAGTGGTAGAGTACTTGCTAGTATGCATACGGTCCTGGGGTTCACCTCCAGTTTTATAAAGCAAGGGGGGGGAAATGCCTCACTCCCCCAATCAAATTGACGGTCAGCAAGATAGAGCTGCACAGAATGCAGCGGAAAGCACATGAAGGCTAGAAGAAGATGGCAGATGCACATCTGCCCAGTAGATTTCCAGGAAGGAAATGAGTACATTTTAAAAAATTGATTCTTTTATATTGCACCCCAATGCAGTTTCCCCTCCCTCTTCTCCTCCCAGTCCTTCCCTCAGATTCACTCTTTTTCCTTTCCCATCAGAAAAAGGCATATCCTCCTGGGTATATCAATCAAACTTGGCTTATCTAGTTATAATAAGAATAGGCACAAACCCTCATATCACGGCTGGATTAATCAGCTCACTAGAAAGAAAGGGTCCCAAGAGCAGGCAAAAGAGTCAAAGACCCACTGTTAGGAGTTCCACAAGAAGACTGAGCTACACAACCATAACACATATGCAGAGGACCTGAGTCAGACCCATACAGGCTCCCTGATTGTTGGTTCAGTCTCTGTGAGTCCGTATGAGTCTTGCTTGGTTTATTCTGTGGGCCATTTTCTTGCGTCTTTGACACCTCCTGCTCCTACAGTCTTTTCTTACCCTCTTCCACAGGATACCCTGAGCTCCGCCTAATGGTTGGCTGTAGGTCTCTGCATCTGTTTCCATCAGTTGCTGAATGAAGCGTCTCTGATGATGATTGTTCTCAGCTTCGGTCTGTGGTATATAGCACTATGATTCGTCAGTCATATCTGGTTCTGTCCTAGGTCTCTGGGCAATCCAAACTGTGGTTCCTGGCCCTCCAGGCAGTGTCAGGTGGGACTTCCCTCTTGTGAAATGGGTCTCAAGTTGGACCAGTCATAGGTTGTCCACTCCCACAAGTTCTGCACCACCTTTACCCCAACACATTTTGCAGACAGGACAAATTGTAGTTCAAAGGTTTTGTGGCTGGATTGGTGCCCCAATCCCTCCACTGTTGGATAAATTAAAAAGTGAGGGGGGATCTTTAAATTGAAGAAATGCCCAGGCCTTCAGAACAAAAGACTTATTTAGTACCAAGCAGATGGCTGGCAAAACAATGGCCAGGTTGGCTGCCAGAAGGGCACTCTTGACTGCAGGAGCACAGTGTGAGTCTTTGTGCATTTCCTGGCCTCAGAGTTCATGGGCGCCTGCCCCGAGCCAGGTACATCACTCTGTACTTAGGCTAACGGACTCAGTGTGACTCGTAGCCTTTGGAGCTCCAGTCTAGCAGAAGATACATGACTAATTAGTGATGTGGGATGGTTTCAGAGTGTGTAAGGGGGCACCAAAAGACCTGAGACCAGAAGAATATAGATTTTACTGGTGAAATTTGGGTGTTTTAGTTTCTGTTGCCATTGTGACAACCTACTGCAAACTCAGGGACTTAAAACAACAGAAATGTAGTATCTTAAAGTCGTAGAGAGCAGAAGTGGGGAAAGGCAGGCGGGTGCCAACAGGGTACACTCCTCGGGGCACGGGGATGGATCGATTTCCTGGCCTCTTGTAGTTTCAGCAGTCTGCCTATATTCCTTGGTGGGCCCCTCCTTCATCTTCAAAGTGTAGTATCTCCAAATTTCTTCCTTGGGTCTCTTCCTTCTGTTGCTGCACCACTTCCTCTCACTCTACCCCTTTTACTTTTTTTTTTTTTTTTTTTTTTTATAAAAGCCCTTTTGGTTATTCTGAGCATACCAGGTAATCCAACATAACCTTCCCATCCCGTGCTTGTCTATTCCCTCACACAAACCTTCCCATCCCATGCTTGTCTTAGTCCTGTCCACAAAGCCCCTTGCATCCAGAGTAACTGATTCATGGGTTGTAGGTATTAGGCCCTGGGCATCCTGAAGTCATTATGCTTTCTACCACGGTGAGAAAAATCAAGAGCACTGGGAAAGCCCTGCGGTGGAAGGGAGCACGAACTATTCTAGAAATAGACGAAGACCAATGTAAGTGAAGTGCGTGGGTAGACAAACGATATCAAACCAAGGAAGCTGGAGATGTTATATAAAGCCAAAGACTGTAGGGATTCAAGATCAGTTACAGGATTTTGGCTTTTTAGCGTCAGAACTGTAGGAAGCCACTAACGAAGCAGTTCTCAACCTATGGTTCACAACCCCTTTGGTGGCCCAATGACCTTTCATAGGGGTCACTTATCAAGATATCCTGCAGATTAGATATTTGCATTACAGTTCATAGCAATAGCAAAATTACAGTTATGAAGTAGTAACGAAAGTAATTTTATGATTGGGGCTCACTACAACATGAGGGACTGTATTAAAGGGTCGTAGATTAGGAAGGCTGAGAAGCACTGCACTAAAGGTTGTGGATAGATTTAAAATGTACAGAGGTCATGTTTGCTACGTGAAGTGGGAAGATGTGTGAGGGTGCGGGTAGAGGAGCAGTTGTGAGAGACCAGATGAACTTAAAATCACACGCACACGCAGACAGACAGAGACACAGAGACACGGACACGGGGACACAGGAGCTACAGGACCATTGGGATATTACAGGACTGTTTAGGATTTTACAACTAGAGGCCCCAGTGGGATCGGGAACTTAGGGAACGCTGAGAGATGGATAAAAAGGGGGCATTCTTGGCACTCTTGTCTCAAGGATGGCTCCGTGACCCTGTCTGTCTGTCTCTGTCTCTCTGTGTATATGTTTTTAAGTTTTCAGTCTAGTTCCTGTAGTGCTAGTGAGTAGAGCGCGGAATGGAACTGGTGGGTTTTTACAAGTGGAGGCCCCGCTGGGATGTCGGGAACTGGGGAGACATGGGGAGAGTGCCCTCGGAAGACTGGCCAGCAAGAGATTGATGGTGAGGACAGATTGAAAATGGGTGCCAGTTATTTTGTGCAAGGATTGAACGACCGGTCAATTAGTAGTTCTTTTAGAAGCAGGGAACTGGAATGAAAGTTTTTTAAAATAGTAATATATATACAAAAAGTAATATATACACAGACATTTTATTGTATGGGCTGTGAAGATAAGCCAGCATAAAAGGTATCTTGACTTTGGGGTTTGAGTCTAGGGATTTGTTGTGAACCAGGACCCCCCTGAAGGGTCACTGTGAAATACCCCCAAGGATGCTGCACCCCCACTCAGCAGAAAGTTTAAGAGAGAAAAGCTACGCCCACATTCCCTAAAAGATTGTTTAAGTGGGGCCCCTTCCGTGGTTCCGGAGCAGCGAGCCTGCTTCCTGGAGTTCTGTTCTGCTCAACCTGAAGGTTGTAAATGTCTTAAATTAGTCTAACAGCAGTTAGCCAAAGCCCCTCTAAATTATAATGATTATCACCAGCCTTTGCTTCTGCTGGTCTTTTGTACAGCCTTTCAGCCACTGCAGTCTTTTGGCAGGAGGGACCTATTCCCTGGGTGCACGGACCAGCTTATATCAGTAAAGGCTTTCAATTGTTCTGTGACAGTTATAACATCCTTCATAAGACCAGGAATACCTTACAATCCCCAGGGACAGGCCATAGTGGAACAGGCTCACGGAACTCTCAAAGACTATATTCAAAAAAACAAAAAAGGGGAAGTATAGTAGTGTAGTACGCCCCAGGCATTTGGCATACTTGTATCAAGGATGACCGTGTCTCCCTCTCTGTGTGTCTCTGTCTCTGTGTTTATAAGTCTCAGCTTAGTTCCCAGCTCATGTATGGTCTTGTAGTGACACCGGAGCTACAGGACCGTCAGTTTTTACAGGAAGACGGAAGAATGAAGAGCAACTGACCAGCATCACATCTTAAGGAAACAAGAAAGGCTAAACTAACAGTGATGCTAAAAGCAGAACAGAGCTTAGTATAACTGAAGGTAGACTGAGTATTTAAAGATAGGGAATGCTACCTTTAGATAGTTTCTACTCTTTTTTTCTAGCTTAAAGGAAATAAATTTTAGAATTTGGACTCTGACTTCCGTGCTCACAACCTCCCAATGCCATCTCTTCTGCTCAGAGTTGAACTCAGTGTGGTATGTTTGACCTGACCCCTGGATCTCCATGGAGGCCCTTTCTGCCTTAGATCTATTCTGGTCCTGCTAGCTCTTGATAATGTCAAGATGATCGTGTCTTCAGCATCCCGCTGCTTGCTTCTCTGGAGTGTTCTTCCTCAGCTCTAACACGTCTCATGAAAGCAAAGGCATTATTTAGATTATTTCCTGTATTACGCCTAACACCTGGAATATTGCCTTGTGTTTAAAATAGGTGCAGAACTGTTTAGAGTGGAAGAGAGGGACCTTAGGGACAGTTCCTTTTACCCCTTGATTCTTAGTATCATCACTTGCAGAATGGTGAAGGTAGATCCGTAGTCTTTTAGCTTCCTTTTCAGTTTTAGAAGTCTAAGTATTTCTTAGCATCTCCAGAAAATTGTTCCATGATTAAGTTTCATTTTTGTTTTGTTTGACACAGGGATTCTCTATGTAGACCTGGCTTTTCTGGAGCTAGGCTGACCTCAAATTCACAGAGGTCTGCCTGCCTCTGCCTCTTGAGTGCTGGGATTAAAGGTGTGTGCCAGCAATCTGGTTTAGAATTATTTTTAATATTTAATTATATGCTGTGGTATATGCATAATACTTATAATATTAATGCTTTAAGACTAAGATACAATTATAAATTTTTTAAAAAATTTATTATGTATATAGTGTTCTGCCTTCATTTATGCCCACATGCCAGAAGAAGGCACCCGATCTCATTACAGATGGTTGTGAGCCACCATGTGGTTGCTGGGAATTGAATTCAGGACCTCTGAAAGAGCAGCCAGTGCTCTTAACCTCTGAGCCATCTCTCCAGTTCCAAGATACAATTTTTAAAAAAAGACTGAGATACGGTCAGTTCTGTGACGCAATACGTGAAATCTCTCAAGTCACTGAACCGGATAAAATTGTGTGACAAAATGAAAAAAAAAAAAATGGGGTTAGAATCACAGTGCTGAATTCTCTCAGTTGCGCATGAGGAAGAACCTATAAGATCGTATGTGATTATAAATCACCAGTTAACTACAGTAAATACAGTGCTCTGCTTAGGGACCCCAGGAGGACCTCCTGTAGAGCTGACTGCAGGAGGGCTCCAGTGTGCATTCACAAGCAGTATAGTGGAAACTATAATTTTGGAACTTTTTATGTATCACACACACCTGTGGTTCACCAACCTCTCTGCCAGCCAAGGACCCGGCACCCTCAGATGTCACACCTATACTCACTGCACCGGGGACCCAAGGCAGGAAGTTCACACTGCCACTATACTGCTAAGGAGTCATGGATCTCACTCGAGAGTTTACCATGCTCATTTTTCTCTTCTGACTCAGGATCCCATGTTCCATTACATTGTGACTTCGTCATGTCTTCTTAGTCTTTTCTGTCTGGAGCAGTTCTTAGCACTGGAGAGAGTGCTGGCTAGTTATTTTGTGATGTGTCCCCAAACTGCATGTGCCTGTTGCTTCTTCGCACGACTCCTTGAGCTGCTGATCTTGAAGACATTCATTGTGTGACAGATATGCCAGCGTCTCTGACCTTTACTTGTGGCCTAGTGTGCTGTTTGCAACTGTTTTGGTATGAGGTTTCGTCTTTTTTTATTAACACTTATTTGCTGTTGTGTTTGCACGCACCCGTGGCCTAGCCACAGGGAAGAGAAATATAACACTATAGATGTTTCTTTTTACTCTTTTCTCTTTCAAAAACTGAATTCCTCAGTTACTCCTATATATTTGTCTATATTATCATTATAAAATCTTTTTACAATAATTGCTATATTTTTTTCTTCCAGTTTCAATAGTAATGGGAATTCCTACCGTGAAGAGAGAAGTTAAATCTTACCTCATAGAAACCCTTCATTCCCTTATTGATAATCTGTATCCTGAAGAGAAGCTGGACTGCGTTATAGTTGTCTTCATTGGAGAGGTAATTTCTTGTTATATTTTTCACCGTATGTGATCTGAGAATTAAGATGCTAATCAAATATTTGCATGTGCTTTTATAAGCATTTAGACCAGCAGTTCTCAGCCTAAGGGTTGTGACCCCTTTGGGGAGGTTGCATATCAGATATCCCACATATCAGCTATTGCGTTATAATTTAGAAGAGTGGCAAAGTTCAGATATGAAGTAGCAACAATATAATATTATGGCTGGGTTCACTACACCATGAGGAACTGTATTAAGGCAGGTATTAGGAGCTATTTTGAAGTTCCCTATGCTGTCATAAGGAAGTGTGTTAGGCAGGGTGTGAACCATTGCCCAGAGGAAGTATTGCCTTATTGGATTTTGGAATGGGGAAGGGCTGGAGGTGCAGCTAAGTGGCAGAGCGTTTTTGTGCCACCGATGAGATCTAGGTCACTCTCCCTGTAAGGGAAGACCTTCAGTGTGTCCTGCTAGTTCTGCCTCCCTCTCCCCATAAGTCCCACTGTTTCAGAATTTTTTTTTAACTCAATATGGTTTTAATGACAAAGTAAACACATGCTACTAAAATCAGTAATGTAAACATACAATGAACCTTGCCTATTTTTCTTCATACAAATAAAACGTTGGTTTTCAAAAACTTAAATTTTTCTTCCTATGGCTTGTGTGTGTGTATATATATATATATACACACACACACACACACACATACATACACACACACACCAGAGGGTCATTCTGTATATGTTAATTGCATTATGAGCATTTTTCCGTGCCAAAAAAAGGACTTTTTTTCTGTCTTCCAAATATTTCATCTTCTGGTTTCAGAATTATTTTTTTTTCAATTTACGATGTATAGGTGAGTTTTTAGAGTTCCTGCAGTGATCAGCAACAGCATTAAGTATTTATGTAAATAAAGTGTGTAGCTGTATAGTGACTGACTTGATACTAATTTCTAAATCTGGCTCAGGACCCGAACACATTAAAATATTGAGATGTGACCAACAATGCCCTGGAAAAGTTGAGCCACTTCCTCTCCCAGCAGTCTATCAAAGAGCTCATTTCTTTTTTCCAGGTACTATTAAAATATTAGAAACTGGTTTTTATTGTCAACTTGACACAACCTTGAGTCACCTGGGAAGAGGAAACCTCAAGGATTGCCTAGATCACATTGGTTTGCGGCCATATCTGTGACAGACTGTCTTGAATTGATAACTGATGGGGGATGGCCTAGCCCACTGTGGGTGACACCATCCCTATGCAGGTGGTTCTGGGTTTTATTAGAAAGCTTGATCTTGAGCCAGAGAGCAAGCCAGAAATCAGTGTGATTTCAGCTTCCGTTCCTGCTCGAGTTCTGACTTGATTTCCCTCAGTGATGGCCTGTGACCTGGAAGCATAAACCAAATAAACCCTCCCTTGAGTTTCTTTTGGTCAGTGTTTATTATTATTATTTTTATAGCAATAGAAAAGCAAATAGAGCAGTTTGATTTTCTAATTTGATGGGTAAAAAGTAACACATTGGCCTTTGCCAAAATAGCTGAGTTTGGAGACTGGTTAAAAGTAATTCTTTGCTTTTATTTAATTCGGGTTGCTTTACTGTTTGGATTAAATGTAAGTTTGTGTAGATTCTGACCACTTGATTTATAATTGTTTTTCTATAAGCTTTGCTAATTTTTTTAATGCTTTGATTTGTAAGGAGCTTCCATATATGAGGGGAATCAACTCTTTGAAGTAGTTTGATTATTTGGTTATTTGTACTCTTTATGATTTTTTTTCCTTGCCTTTCATGTATGGCTGCCCCTGGAGATGGGCACTACTTCTTTGGAAAGCAGCTAAGCAATGACTATTAATATTGAAAGTGCACTTTTGAGTCAGCATTGTGCTTGTAAAAACCAATCTAGTACAAACATTTGCAATTTCAGAAATATATTTAAGCAGATAAACATGTATATAAAAATCCTCAGTGCGCATTACTGAAATAAGCAAGAAAAATTATATCTTGGTAAAACTCTTTAGTAGCTAGCAAATGCATTGAGTCTCAGGATTATGCGGTAATGCCACTTTCTGCCAGGTACATTTTTACAAAGTTGGAATTTATTTGCAATGAGAATATTATTATTGTATAGTATTAGCAGCATTCCAATGTCTGATTAGCCCTCTTGGACTGCAGTGTTTGTCTGCCTATCTCCATAAAATTTCAGTGCTCTCTAGTCTGTCGTGAACAGAAGTGAAATGTTTCACTAGATTTAGCCACTAGGCAATTCAGAATCATTGCTTGTGTCTCCATGGGTTAGTTAGAAGTGTTTCCATAGGAGTCTATAAGGTACTAGTAACAGGTACATCTTCTGTGGTTTTGACCATGATTTGTACAGGATAACTGAATATCTTCAGATTCTTCTTCCTCAATACCTGTTTCTGCTTGCCTACTTGATAACATCATCCAGATGTCTAATGGGCAGTGTAGCTGTTTGAATAAGAATGACCTCCATAGGCTTCTAGGTTTAAATGCTTAGTCGCCAGGGAGTGGCACTGTTTGAGAGGATTAAGAGGTGAGGCCTTGTTGGAAGAAGTGTGTCACTGGAGTTGGAGTTTGAGGTTTAGAAAGCCCATGCTGAGCCCAGAGTCTGTCTTTCTGCCTGTGGCTCAGAATGTAGTTCTGTACTACTGCTCCAAGGTAAGGCTGCAGGCCACCCTGCTTCCTGCCATGATGATAATGGACTAAACCTCTGAACAGTGGTAAGCAAGCCCCCAGTTAAAACCTTTCTCTTATAATAGCTGCCTTGCTCATGGTGTCTCTTCACAGCAAGAGAACAGTGATTAAGACAGGCAACTCTCAATTTGTCCAGATCTAAATTAGTCTAACCTCTCAGGCCGCTGCTCTTCCAGGTATCCCATATGCTCATGGGAGTTCTCTTTGTGCAGCGCTAATCGCCCCGTGCCCAGTATGTGGTACAGATCTGTGTGTTCTCCGTTCTGTGTGTATTACTCCGTTTGAACACTGCCTCTTCCTTTTTGCTCCCTTCTTCCTCCATCCCAGCTGATCACCTTCTGTGATGCTATCTCTGATCTCCCATTTAAATTAGTGATAGCACTAACAGGCGAATATGAAAAAATAAATGTTCCATATGTACACACACACAAATATATGTATCTATATTTTTAAGCAAATCAGGAATTTCTGTGAAAATTATCTTTAGTTTAAATACTTGAGGAGAGATTAAGGATGAAAAAAGTGCTAGAGATGCTGGGCATGTTGATGTGTGCCTGTAAACCTGGGCCTCAGAAGATTGAGGCAGGAGGATTGCTGGGAGTTCAAAGCCAGCCAAGGCTAAACAAGACTGTTTAGAAGTCAAAGCAGAGTACTAGAGCGTGGGGAGCTCGTGTAGGTCACTTTTCCCTGCGCCACTTTCTGTTCTTTGTATTTTTATATACTTTCTTTTTTAAAATTTAAAGCACTTATTCATTTTAATTTTTTAAATCATTTTTGTTTTTGAGATTGTAATTAGATAATTTCCTCCTTCCTGTGCCTGCCCCCATATACCCTTCCTTGTTCTCTTTCAAATTCATGGTCTCTTTTTTCATTAGCTGTTGTTATATGCACGTACATGTGTGTGTGTGTGTGTGTATGTGTGTAAATGTATAAATACAACCTGCTCAGTCTGTATGTTCCTTGTATGTTTTTAGGGCTGGCTGACCGTTTGGTATTGGATACCACATTGTGTGCTCTTCCCTGGGGAAGACTATTGTCTCTTGCTCTTGGCATTCCTTAGTTGTTGGTAGTTTGTGTAAGGTTGAGGCTGTGTGGCCTTTCCTCCCATCCTCTCTGGCATGTCTATTGCTGTCTTTGTTTAGCTCATGTTTAGGTAGCCACGCTGAAGAGGCTTTCTCTATGAGTGTAGCTTTTGACATACCTAGGAGACAGGATCTCACACCCCTCTGATGCAATAATCCCTGAGGCTCAGGTACAGGAGTTGTATTGTATGGTTGGTACTTTTTTAGTTTTTTTTTAAACTTAGAGTTTAATTTTAGCATTTAGAGTATAATGATCTTTTGTTAATGTTATGCCTCACATTACTTTATGTATTTTTTGCTCTTATTCTATATACTAATACAAACACATACACTAATTCTTGTATTTTTATCACTCAGGATCATTTCCTCATAGTGTGCTCTGGGTTTTAGCAGATTGTTTTTCATGCCTTGTATTTGGGGCGTCCCCCAGCTATAAACCCTGGTGGAATGAAGTGTCTCCACCTTGCTATGAAAACTAAAAGTGCCAGCCGTTTGCTTTATGGTTTACTGTTCTCATGTTGTACTTTGCATAGAAGCCTCTTTATTTTCAGATGCCAGAAAACCCAAAGGAAGTAACAGGGAAATCTAGCAAGACATCTGGACAGAGGATCTGTTCATATTTCTGTATTCCAGTGATAAAAAAAAAACAAAAAGTAGTGAGATGAACCAGCAGGTAAAGGCGCTAGCTGCCAACTCTGGTGATCTGGTTCAGTCCCCAAAGCCGTCATGGTGCACAGAGAGAAGTGATTCCTGCGAGTCGTCCTCTGACTTCCACATGCACGCCATTGCACCTTCCCTCGCTCCAAGTAAATACATAAATATTTAAGGTCAGATATAAGGGAGTGAGGATCAGATAGTCATTCCGATGGCAGACTGACGTAGATGGCATTGTCATGTGACACTTGATTCCTTGCTCTGTGATTCCTCACTGCATCTTCTCATCCGGGTTCCTCAACCCAACCACGGCCCCATGCATTCATCCAAGCCATCTTTCAGTAAATCATTTTTTCTAGCTGTTCTTGCAGAATCTGTTTCTGCTGGCTGCAGCTAAGATCCTATGTCCTATGTGATGGGGGGGTGTCTTTTTTAAAGGCAAAAATCTTAGATTTTATAGACTGCCACCAAACAGATCAGGCAGTCGGTGGGGTTACAGGGCTATGTTGATGGCAAGGTGCTATTTTGGGTGGGCTGGAGAGACTGCATGGGTTCTTTAG